TTGGAGAATTTAGCATATAACTTCTTCTCCCTCAAAATTTGGAGCACGATCCTCAGATGCTGCTCATGATCCTCCTAGCTGCATGAATACACTAATATATCATCAATGAAAACAACGAAGTAAGGAATTAAGAAATGACTGGAATACATTGTTCATCAAGTGCATAAAGGCTACTGGGGCATTGGTCAGCCCAAAAGACATCACCAGAAACTCGTAGTGACATAACGGGTCTTGAAAGCTATTTTTGGAATATCTAAAGCCTGGATGTTCAACTGATGGTACCCCGATATCAAATCAGTCTTCGAGAATACCCTAGCATCTTGAAGCTAACCAAACAAATCATCAATACATAGTAGTGGGTACTTGTTCTTGATAGTAAACTTGTTCAACTTCCTGTAGTCAATGCAAATCCTCTAACCATCCGTTGTGCCTTCAGGAAGGGCACTACCCTACTAGGAACATAATCCAAGGAGCCTCTTTGATAAGTGTGGTTTTTTACCACTTATTTGTACCTTCTTGCTTTAGAGTTCGAAAGTGTTGATTTTTGTTCCCAAAACTAATAAAATTGTGCAAATTACAAGAATGTTGGAGAATTAGACCTTAATGAAGAAATATAACTCAAAAGGTAGTGTTCCGGCTCACAAGGCAAGAAGGAGTGCAGCATGCCAAAAGTGCGGTCCGCAGAATTTACATCTGCGGCCGCAGAAGAAAGCGCATACCGCAAAATTATCTCTACGGTGGCAGATCTGGTGTTGAAGCTCAGATGATGATTGAAGAAAGTGCTGACCACACACAATTTGTGCGGCTGCAAAACATGGTCGCACTGACAAGAATTCAAAACATTCAGAGAATATGCAAAACGACCAACTGTGAAGCCTTGCCAAAAGTGCAGCCGCAAAAGTTGAAGTGCAGCCGTAGACCAAATTGTGCGGCTGCAGAAATCCTTCACCTGCAGAACCAAGCAAATTGCGGATTGCACATGGAATTGTGCAGCCATAGAACCTACTGAAGGGCAGTGTTTTCAGCGAATTTTGGGCCATTGTGAATTGACTGGAAATACTTTTTAGGGCAAGTTTTATAGTTTTTTGAGCTGTAGTCGTTATAGATTACTACTTTTGGTAATTTGTGACCAATTTAGGGTGAAAACATATTAGTTTATCATTTTAATCTTGTATTATGGCTCTAAATTAGTGCTTCTTCTTTATTATCTTCAATTTCTATTATGAGTAGCTAGATCTTTACTAGGGTTGTGACCCAACCCATACCTCATGATGTGCCAAATACGCGAATCTCATCTTGTACTAGGTCACAGTTATATCTCCCTAGCGTAGCTGCTCAAACTCCCTACGCAGCTCCTTTCAGCGAGTCCATGGCACAAACTTCTTTATGAAGAGAACTGAGAACCCATTCCATGTAACTGGTGCTACATCAGCTGGCCCACCTGACTCATAGGTCTGCTACCATCTGTAGGCTACCCTTATCAGCTGAAAAGTAGTAAATGCAGCTCTACTTGTGTCCACAATACCTGTTGTGCGAAGAATCTGATGACATCGATCAAGAAAACCCTGAGCATCCTCCGACTCTCCTCCGCTGAACTCAGGAGGATCAGTCCTCTTAAACTGCTCCAACCTCTTACGCTCCTCATAGGACATAGGTGCACCAACCTCGGCCCGAGCAACAACAACTGGCTGAACTGGTAACACCTCTGGTGTCTGATAACCCTGAGTTAGCTACTCCGGTGTACAGGCAGCAGGAGTCTGGGCTCCTCTCCCAGCCTGTAAGGTAGCTGGTGCAACTAGTATCATACCCGCCTGAGCCAAGCTCGTGTACAAACTTAAGATCTTAGCCAAAGTCTCCTTAAGACTAGGTATAACAATGGATACCACCGGTGTCTGAGCCGATCCTACAAGCTCAATAGTATCTGGAACCTGCTCCTCTACAGGAGAAATTGGTAGCTTCATAGGTGCTTCTCTGGCTATAGTGCGAGCCCCCACATTGGCATCTACCTCGGCCCTGGCCCCTTGCGGCCCTGGCTGGTGGCACTAGTGCTGATCAGCTGAACGGGTCCTCATCATCTGTGAGATAACAGAAGAGTAAAGATTCAAACTTCAAAATTAACAAATCCGCATGACATGAATGCACGAAAATGAAGTTTCCAAATAGTTCGGTAGCCTCTCGAGGATAAGTACAGATGTCTCCAAACCAATCCACAAGATTACTAAACTTTCTCATGTCTTGTGAGACCTAGGCAACCTAGACTCTTTCCATGCTTTAATTGAATTATCATGTCATGTTCTAAATTCTCATAGTCAATCTACTCTTACTTGTGTTAGTCTATCCTTATATGCCTTAAATGACGTTGTTAATACTTGTTCTACATCTTACTTGATATTTTGCTCTTATGCTTTAGTTGAACTCGTTGCCTCTTTTGTTGTTACATGTTATCTTTCCATTATTGATTACCATTATTTGAAGTCATTGTTACATGCTGTCTCTTCATTGTTGATTTATCATTATTTGAAGTTATCGATTACATGTTATCTCTTTCGTTATTGATTATCATTAGTTGAAGTCATTGTTACATGTTATCTCTTTGATTGTTGATTATCTTTATTTGAAGTCATCGGTATATGTTATCTCTTCTATTGTGAGTTATTCTTATTTAGTATCGTGGTTATACATTATCCTTCTCATTGTTGAGCTATTGGTATTGAAGTTGTGAAAGTCGTTATCACATTAAGGCGAAGTGTTTGTTGAGATATCTTTCTTGTTGAGAAATTTATATTCATTGTTATTGTTGATATTCGTGTACACATTGTGGTTGAATCATGGGTTATTGTTGTGTATATATTGATATTGTTGATTATTAGCAAGTTGTGACATATGGGCACTTGTGGTGCGAGTTGTTATTGATGCGCATGCGGCGGTATAAGATAGGGGTTAATGTGCATAAGGCGTCATAAGGAGGGACTTATGTGCGTATTGCTTATAAGGGAATTACGTGAAGCCAAACGGCATCATAAGGTGGGTTAAAGTGCATGTAGCTATTTAGGGAAAAATGTTTTCAAAACTATTTAAATGTAAGGCTCACGTGGCGGTATAATAAAAGATTGTGATTGAAATTGAGAAATGTGAATACGAGGCGGTATCTCGGTTGTGATCCTTATTGTACAAGAGGCGGTACCTCATTGTGATTCTTGTTGTTTATCTCATGTTGCAAACAGTTATTGGTGGGAACACTTCTTATTGTTTTGCTCTTCCTTGTTCCATCGGTTATTGTCTGTATATGATCATTGTGGTTCTTTTCAATCGCTTCTTTTATGTTATCTCTATGATTAGAATCCTTTCATTAGTCTATGTTATTAACTTGCTTTATATTACTTATTTCTCCGCTTTCCATTACTTCTTGTTACTACATTTTCATTCTGTTTATTATGCCATGGTAGGTGTCTTGACCTGCCCTTGTTACTACTTTAACGAGGTTAGGCTTGATACTTACTAGGTACCGCTGTGGTGTACTCATACTACGCTTCTGCACATCTTTTTGCGCAGATCCAAGTATGTCTGCTCGTGTCGGACATTAATGATCGACTGTTAGCTGCTTTCTGGAGACTTCAAGGTATACCTGCTCGGTGTCCGCAGGCCTCAGAGTCACCTTCTCTTATCTTTCTTTTTTTGTTGTATTTTCCATTCAGACAGAGTTGTAGTAGACATTCTAGTTTATTCAATAGAGCTTATGACTCAGTTCCACCGGTTTTGGAAAAGTTGTTGTTGAGATTCTGTTTTGGAAGACTATATGAGTTTTGTTAGTTCTATTTTAGTATTCTTGTTGATTTTTCTTGTTGAGTTTTTATTAAATGTTAGGCTTACCTAGTCTTAGAGAATAGGTGCCATTATGACATCCTAAGGTGGGAAAATGGGGTCGTGAAAAGTTGGTATCAGAGCTCTACATTTATAGGTGTTACGAGTCATAAGCAGGTCTAGTAGAGTCTTGCGGATTGGTATGGAGACATATGTACTTATCTTCGAGAGTCTAGGAAATCTTCACTTCTTGGATTCCTTATAGTGCGAATTGGTTGACTTTGAAAACTAAATCTTTGACTTTTTATTCTCTCACAGATTGTGAGGACACGCACTGCTAGATCTGACGATCAAACACCTGTACCCCCTGCTAGAGCCGCGAGAGGTTGGGGCAGAGGCAGAGGAGAGGCACATGGCACCTGCCCGAGCTACGACAAAGAAGCCACCAGTAGCTCCAGTTAAGAGGTGGGCCCCCGAGTCGCCTGTTGCAAGCCCTGCGCTTTAGGAGACCCTCGCAAATTTCTTAACCATGTTTGGTACTTTAGCTCAGGCAGGGTTGATTCCACTTATACCAGCCATATCTCAGGCTGGGGGAGGAGCTCAAACTCCCGCAGCCCGTACTACAGAGCCCGAGGTTAGGGTAGAAATATCTGAGGAGGAGCAGCTTAGACTTGAGAGGTACAAGAAGTACCATCCTCCTACTTTTAGCGGCCTAGCTACAGAGGATGCACAGAGGTTTTAGAGAAGTGCCATCGTATTCTCCGCACCATGGGTATTGTGGAGATGAGCCGAGTTGCTTTCACTACTTTCCAGCTGTCAGGAGAAGCGAAACAAATGGTGGGGGTGTACGAGGAGGGCAACCCAGCCGATGCAGCTTCACTTACATGGACTCAATTTTCAGAGATGTTCTTGAAAGAGTTTGTTCCTCAGACCCTTAGGGTTGCATGACGCACGGATTTGAGCAGCTGTGCCAGGGTACTATGACAATGTCAGTGTATGCTGTTCGATTCAGTGATTTGTCCAGACATGCACTTGCCTTGGTTTCTACAGTCAGAGAGTGAGTTCGTCAATTTATTGAGGGGCTCAACTATGGTATTAGATTCAGCATGGCTTGATAGTTGGAGACAGATACCCTATATCAACAGGTGGTAGCAATTACATGTAGGTTGGAGGGTAAGCAGGACCATGAGAGATAGCACATGGAGGCCAAAAGGCCTCGAGGTACTGGAGGATTTAGTGGTGGCCACGCAGCAGTTACAGCCCATCACGGTAGAGGCTATGTGAGTCGTCCAGTTCATTCAGCACTTCCAGCTTCTAGTGGTGCTCCAGTTATTCCGAGGTCTCAGGTTGCACATTTTGCTCAGCCACTTTCTAGTGCACCTCTTGCACGGTATGCCTTCAGTAGTCAGTCCAGCCGACCAGGCCCGAGCTAGTCCCAAAAGCCACGCCCACCGAGAGCTTGCTTTAAGTGTGGTGATACTCATCATATGGTTAGAGACTGCCCTAGACTTAGGAGGGGTGCACCTCCACAGACTACTCAGGCTCTACGGATTCAGTCAGGTCCACAGACTTCTTAGGTATGGTTGTTGCCCCAGTTGTTGCTCCACCCGCACAACCAGCTAGGAGTGGGGGATGGGCAGGTAGAGGTCACCCTAGAGGGGGAGGCTAGGCCAGATTTTATGATTTTCTGGCTAGTATAGAGGCAACCGCTTCAGATGCAGTCATTACAGGTATGGTTCTGATTTGTCATAAAGATGCATCAATCTTATTTGATCCGAGATCCACTTATTCATATGTGTCATCTTACTTTGCTCCGTATTTGGGTATATTTTGTGATTCTTTGAGTTCTCATGTTTATGTGTCCACGTCTGTGGGAGATTCAATTATTGTGGATCGTGTGTATCGGTCGTGTTTAGTTGTTATTGGTGGTTTTGAGACTAGAGTTGATCAATTATTGCTCAGTATGGTAGACTTTGATGTTATCCTGGGCTTGGACTGGTTGTCACCCTATCATGCTATTCTAGATTGTCATGCCAAGATTGTGAGATTGGTTATTCTAGGTTTACCACGGTTAGAGTGGATGGGTGCATTGGATTATGTTCCTAGCAGGGTTGCATCATTTCTAAAGGCTCAGCGGATGGTTCAGAAGGGGTGTGATGCTTATCTAGCCTTTTTGAGAGATGCCAGTGGTGATACTCCTACCGTTGAGTCAGTTCTGGTAGTGAGAGACTTTTTAGATGTATTTCTAGCAGATCTTTCGGGCATGCCACCCGATAGGGATATCGATTTTGGTATGGACTTGTTACCGGGCACTCAGCCCATTTCTATTCCACCATATCGTATGGCCCCAATAGAGTTGAAGGAGTAAAAGGAGCAGTTGCAAGATTTCATTGATAAGGGTTTCATTCGGCCTAGTGTGTGGCCTTAGGGTGCTCCGATTTTGTTTTTGAAGTAGAAGGATGGTTTTATGTACATGTGTATTGATTATAGGTAGTTGAACATGGTTACAGTGAAGAACATGTATCCATTGTCGTGCATTGATTACTGTTTTCATCAGCTACATGGTGCTAAAGTGTTCTCAAAGATTGATTTGCGGTCAAGGTATCATCAGTTAAAGATTCGGGATTCGGATATTCCGAAGACTGCTTACAGGACTCGATATGGTCACTACGAGTTCTTTGTGATATCATTTGGGCTGACCAACGCACCAGCAGCATTTATGCACCTAATGAACAATGTATTCTAGCCATATCTTGATTCATTCGTCGTTGTGTTTATTGAGGACATCTTGGTGTACTCCCGCAGTCGAGAAGATCATGAGCAACACCTGAGGATCGTGCTTCAGACCTTAAGAGAGAAGAAGTTGTATGCGAAATTCTCAAAGTGTGAATTCTGGTTTGATTTGGTGCCATTTTTTGGGTCATGTGGTGTCGAGTTAGGGGATCAAGGTATATCCGAAGAAGATTGAAAACATGTAGAGTTAGACCAGACCGTCTTCAGCTACTGAGATTCGGAGTTTCCTTAGTTTGGCCGGGTATTATCACCATTTCATAGAGGGTTTCTTATACATTGCCGCACCTATGAACAAATTGACCCAGAAGGGTGCTCCTTTCAGATGGTCCTAGGAGTGTGAGGCAAGCTTTCCAAAGCTCAAGAAAGCTTTGACTACAACCCCAGTGTTGGTATTGCATATGAGTTCGGGGTCTTATACAATGTAATATGATGCGTCACGTGTTGGGATTGGCACAGTGTTGATGCAACACAGTAGGGTTATTGCCTACGCATCTCGATAGTTGAATGTCCATGAGAAGAATTATTCGGTCCATGACTTAGAATTGGTAGCTATTGTTCATGCCTTGAAGATTTGGCGACACTATTTGTACGGTGTCTCTTGTGAGGTCTATACCAACCATCGAAGTCTACAACATCTGTTCAAACAGAAAGATCTTAACTTGCGGTATTGGAGATGGTTAGAGTTGCTTAAAGACTATGATATCACTATTCTATATCATCCCGGAAAGGCCAATGTGGTGGCCGATGCCTTGAGTCGAAAGGTAGAAAGCTTGGGAAGTTTAGCATATCTACCGGTAGCAGAGAGGCCACTAGCCATGGATGTTCAGGCCTTATCTAACCAGTTTGTTAGACTGGATATTTTGGAGCCCAAGCGAATTCTTTCTTTCATGACGATCCCCATTTGCTTGTCCTCAAGGACACGGTGCAGCACGGCGATGCCAAGAAGGTTTCTATCGGAGATGACGATGTGTTGTGGATGTAGGGTCGATTATGTGTGCTCAATGTGGATGAGTTGCGTGAGTTGATTCTTCAGGAGGCCCATAGTTCACGGTACTCCATTCATCCGGGTGCCGCTAAGATGTATCAGGATTTGAGACAACACTATTGGTAGAGGAGAATAAAGAAAGACATAGTGGAGTATGTAGCTCGGTGTCTAAATTATCAGCAGGTGAAGTATGAGCATCAGCAGCCAAGAGGTTTGCTTCAGAGACTTGATATTCCCGAGTGGAAATGGGAGCGTGCAACCATGGACTTCATTGTTGGGCTCCTACGAACTCAGAAGAAATTTGATGCGGTATGGGTGATTGTGGACAGGTTGATCAAGTCGTCTCATTTTATTCCGTTAGTAACTACCCATTCTTCATAGCAGCTAGCTCAAATCTATATCTGCGAGATTGCTTGACTTCATGGCGTGCCGGTATCCATTATCTCTGACCAGGGCACGTAGTTCACATCGTGTTTCTGGAGAGCTGTGCAGCGTCAGTTAGGCACACAGGTTGAGTTGAGCACAACATTTCATCCCCAGACGGACGGACAGTCCGAGCTCACCATTCAGATATTGGTGGATATACTTCGTGCCTATGTTATGGATTTCAGGGGTTTTTGGGATAGGTTCTTGCCACTTGCGGTATTTGCCTACAACAACAGCTACCAATCGAGTATTCAGATGGCTCCTTATGAGGCCCTATATGGGAGACGGTGTCGTTCTCCAGTTGGTTGGTTTGAGTTAGGAGAGGCTAAGTTATTGGGCACGGATCTGGTTCGGGATACCTTGGAGAAAGTCAAGTTGATTTAGGATTGGCTTCATACAACCCAGTCTTGATAGAAGAGTTATGCTGATCGGAAGGTTCGTGATGTAGCATTTATGGTTGAAGAGCGGGTTCTACTTCGGGTTTCACTCATGAAGGGTATGATGAGGTTCGGGAAGAAGGGCAAGTTGAGCCCTATGTATATCGGACATTTTGAGATCCTTGAGAGGATTGGTGAGGTGGCCGACAAGCTTGCATTGCCACCTAGTTTATCTGCGGTTCATTCGGTGTTCCATGTTTCTATGCTCCAGAAGTATTATGGTGTTCTGTCTTATGTTTTAGACTTCAGCACAGTCTAATTGGACAAGGATTTGACTTATATTTAGGAGCCGATAGCTATCTTGGATAGATAGGTATGGAAGTTGAGATCAAAGAATATTGCTTCAGTGAAGGTTCAATGGAGGGGTCATCTGGTCGAGGAGGTGACCTGGGAGACTGAGAACGATATTCGGAGTCGCTATCCTCATCTATTCATCACTTCAACTACGTCCTTATGCACATTCGAGGACGAACGTTTGTTTTAAGAGGGGGAGAATGTAACGACCCGATCGGTTATTTTGTATAATTGCGCCCCGTTATCCCTATTTATGCTTCACACATGTGTGTTTATGATTTTATGACTTACAGGGTTGGTTAATTTCATTTCGGGAAGATTTCGGGTTGATTTGGTCCATTTGACTCTTGACTTAGAAGCTTAAGTTAGAAATATTGACCACACGGGTTATATGTGGTATTTGACCGGTTTAGGCTACTTAGACCCTTTCCATGCTTTAATTGAATTGTCATGTCATGTCATGTTCTAAATTCTCATAGTCAATCTACTCTTACTTGTGTTAGTCTATCCTTATGTGCCTTAAATGACTTTGTTAACACTTGTTCTACATCTTACTTGATATTTTGCTCTTATGCTTTAGTTGAACTAGTTTCCCCTTTCGTTGTTACAAGTTATCTCTTCCATTGTTGATTACCATTATTTGAAGTCATTGTTACATGTTGTCTATTCCATTGTTGAATTTTCATTATTTGAAGTTATTGATTACATGTTATCTCTTTCGTTATTGGTTATCGTTATTTGAAGTCATTGTTACATGTTATCTCTTTGATTGTTGATTATCCTTATTTGAAGTCATCGGTATATGTTATCTCTTCCATTGTGAGTTATTCTTATTTAGTATCATGGTTACACATTATCCTTCTTATTCTTGAGCTATTGGTGTTGAAGTTGTGAAAGTCGTTATCACATTGAGGCGAAATGTTTGTTGAGATATCTTTCTTGTTGAGAAATTTATATTCATTGTTATTGTTGATATTCGTGTACACATTGTGGTTGAGTCATGGGTTATTGTTGTGTAAACATTAATATTATTTATTATTAGCAAGTTGTGACATATGGGCACTTGTGGTGCGAGTTGTTATTGATGCGCATGCGGCGGTATAAGGATAGGGGTTAATGTGCATAAGGTGGCATAAGGAGGGACTTTTGTGCGTGTTGCTTATAAGGGAATTACGTGAAGCCACGCGGCGTCATAAGGTGGGTTAAAGTGCGTGTAATTATTTAGGAAAAAATATTTTCAAAACTATTTAAATGTAAGGCTCACGCGGCGGTATAAGGAAAGCTTGTGATTGAAATTGAGAAATATGAATATGAGACGGTACCTCGGTTGTGATCCTTATTGTACAAGAGGCGGTACCTCATTGTGATTCTTGTTGTTTATCTCATGTTGCAAAGAGTTATTGGTGGGAACACTTCTTGTTGTTTTGTTCTTCCTTGTTCCATCAGTTATTGTCCGTATATGATCATTGTGGTTCTTTTCAATCACTTCTTTTTTGTTATCTCTATGCTTAGAATCCTTTCATTAGTCTATGTTATTAACTTGCTTCATATTACTTATTTCTCCGCTTTCCATTACTTCTTGTTACTACGTTTTCATTCTATTTATTATGCCATGGTAGGTGTCTTGACCTGACCTCGTTACTACTCTAACGAGATTAGGCTTGATACTTTAGGTACCGTTGTGGTGTACTCATACTACACTTTTGCACATCTTTTTGTGCAGATCCGGGTAGGCCTGCTCATGTCGGACATTAGTGATCGACTGTTAGCTGCTTTCTGGAGACTTCAAGGTATACCTGCTCTGTGTCCGCAGGACTCGGAGTCACCTTCTCTTATCTTTTTTTTTTTTTGTATTTTTCATTTAGACAGAGTTGTAGTAGACATTCTAGTTTATTCAATAGAGCTTATGACTCAGTTCCACCGATTTTGGGAAAGTTGTTGTTGAGATTCTATTTTGGAAGACTATATGAGTTTTGTTAGTTCTATTTTAGTATTCCTGTTGATTATTCTTGTTGAGCTATTATTAAATGCTAGGCTTACTTAGTCTTAGAGACTAGGTTCCATCACGACATTCTAAGGTGGGAAAATGGGGTTGTGACAGTATATGCATTTGTTATGGGTTAAATGTGCTGGTAGAACTAGTTTATTTACATCTTGTTGCTTCATGTACTATGTCTTTTATTCTTTAAATAGATTGTGAGACTCTTTGACTATTCATATTCATGTTAGTAGACGTGTTGAGTTTGTGATATTGGGTAGTTAAACTAATGAAATGTTAATTTGGCTATTGGTGCAAAGTGACGACTATTTCCCATATAGCAAGTTATGTTCAATCACTCTTCATAATATTGTTTGTGCTTTCTACCTTTCTTGGTACTACTTTATGTGTTTATGCTTGGTGAGGAAGAGTGAATTATATGAAAGGTATTTATGTGCTTGTGAGGAAGAGTGATTGTGCACGAATGGTGTTTATGTGCTTATTTATATTATTACTATTGCACGAAGGATGTTTTCGTGCTTGTGAGGAATAGTGAATAGGCGCGAAGGATTTTTCTATGCTTGTGAGGATGAAACTAAAAGTACGAAGAGTGATTCCGTGCCATTTGATTGATATCTCTTGTTCCTTATTTTTACTATATATATTGAGAGCTTGGCTATGTTGTCTCGTGGTTGCTTTGCCAAATTACTTGGACTTGAATTATTGTGAAAGGATTGTTTGGTATTATTTTGAGGTTATCGTCATTATATTCTTTAGTTAATCCTTTTATTATTCCGCGTATTATTTCTTGTTGCTATTATATTTGTTATCTCACTTGTTATCTTTTTTGCTATCTTACTTGCTACTTTTCTTGCTATCTTAATTGTTATATCTCTTGTTATTTTTTGGTTACTTAACTGCAGAGGTTTACTATAGGTGTCTTGTCGTAGCCTTGTTACTACCTCGTCGGGGTTACGCTTGATATTTACGGAGTACATTGGGTCGGTTGTACTCATACTATACTTCTGTACTTCTTATGCAGATTACATAGAGGACGAACTAGCTTGCTTGGTTGTGGAGACTCGAGTTAGTGCTGCACTCTCGTCCGCAAGCGTTGATACCACCCGTCTTTTAGACTTTCTACTGTTTATTCGTATCAAATAATGCATTTATTATTTTTGAAATTATATTTAGTAACTCTATAGAAGCTCATGTATTAAGTGAATCTAGTTCTGGGAGGTATTAGACGGTTGTTATTGATTTAGTTGTGTTATACATTATTGAGCTTTACCCCCTTTATTTATAATTCCATGTTGTTTTATGCCCAATACTATTCTTTTATTTATGTCTTGTGTTTGCTTGCCTAGCAAGCAATGTTAGGCGCGATCACGACCCCTTGATTGGGATTTTGGATCGCGACACCTTGTTTACTAATTGTAATATTTTTGGGGCAACGTACATGCGAGATGATTAACATATATGCAGGTGTCATGGTTTATTCATGCCCGAGGTAGACTTAGGCTTTTTTTATGCCTTATTCGGTTGTGTGATCTTCTTGACTTATGATTTATACCTATTTATTCATGCTAAAAATTATATTTAGTCTTACGACATCTTATTTGGGCATGATGGACTATTTTTGTGATTGTTAATATACTTGATTTAGCCCTAGTCATATTTATATTATATGCACACATTCACATCCTTATTTGTTTGGTTCTTGTGCATCTTATCTTATATTTTATGAGCATATTCATACTTTCTTGGAGATGAAAATTATGATTATGGCACCTTCTTCCTATTTCTTTCTCAATGATATCCGACGATCAAGACAATTACCGTGAAACTCTTTCATTTCATAGAAGTGAATTCTTATTCTTACGAAGCAAATAGTATTTCCTATTGATTTGTCCCCTGAACAGGACCTATTGAACATTATCAGCGGATTGACATTATGATGGCACGAGGTTTATATCGGGAAATTATTGTGATATAAACTAATATTATGACACGAGATTTATGACATGCAGCATGTGGATACGGATTCATCCCCCTAGGATCGTCTCCTATATTTCTCTCTTGATGACATACACACAAAGTTGTGAGAAACTGATGAGTGTCAGATTGTGATGGTATTGGTTGATAAATTGGGTATAAAGGTGAAAGCTTCAATCTCTTAAGTAAATCCTTTATGTCATATCATGCATTTTATATACTTTTTTCACATATCTTCTATATGCTACTTGATGTCTCTGTTACATGCATTGAATTTGATAGGCAAGATAGATTGATTCATGTTTTTAATCTCTAATTCATGGTATATCTCTTTCCATTGCGTTGCTATGTGTATGCGTGAAATGTATAAGTATTTTTGTTAGTGAGTATCATATTACTTGAACCTCGCCACCAATTATACATTGTCTTTGTACTCATACTACACTTCATCATATTCTTGTGCAGATCAATGTTGGTCCTACTGGTACTAAGGAGGGAGCCTAGGAACTTGATTGGAGACTTCCTGGTGAGCTGCTGTTCTTGGATTCACAGCTTATGGAGTCCTCTTCTACCTTATTTATTATTTTCTTGTTCTAGACAGTATTTCTGTACTTGAGACTAAAATCCTTATCTAAAATCCTTTTTCTTCATAAATGGTCTTGGTACGAAGAAGCTTTCTTCTCTGTTTGAACAAAAGGAATTTATTTTTGTCTCTATTTACTTTTTAGAATTTTCATGAGCTGCACCATATATGAGAAGTGAAAGTAACACAAGAGATGTAGATATGAGTATTGAAGAAAAAAACAATGGTGGGGATGTAGAGGAAAATGAGACAGTAGAGAGTGACAATGGTGGAGATTAGATGATGGAACTCCATTGGGATGTGAAGTAGCTCAGTAAGAATTGCATTTATTTTTGTTGAATTCATCCATGAAAAGTGAGATAGAAGCTAGTGAATATGGAGGGAGGATTTGATTTTCTTGACTTTTTCTTTTCATCCATTTCGGATAAAACAATAGTGGGAAGAGGGTAATGGGTTATTTTTAAGAGTAATTGGTCGAGTATATAAATTGGGTCTACACAAGTTTAAGAAATTGAGGGGCAAATTTGTTTGAAAGTGTAACGGTAAGATTATTTACAATTAAATACTTAAATGGAGGGTATATATAAATTATTTCTCAAACTAAGGGGTATATATGACCTTTTATCATTTTAAGTGTCTTAATTTGATGGACCCGAAGTTTAAGAAAAGCAAGAAAGACTTTTGAATCTTGTGGTATTAAATTAAAAATGTGTATACTGTACCATGTCGAATATCATTGAATCTTATGATCTTCAATATGCCATATAGAATGTTGGAGTTAAAGAGTTACTAAATATAAAAAAAAATATTCTTTTTGAAATAAACTAAAAAAGAAAGTAAGACATATAAATTAAAACAGAGATAGTAGAAGAAATTAATACAAAATTATTAACAATTNAAGGCAAACAAAAAAGTAAACATCATACAAATTGAAAGTCGTTATATTGTCAACTATTTTATATTTCAGTGTTGGCAAGCTTAGAATAGTATATGTATTAATATAATTACTACGGCGAAATAATCTTGTATTATTTAATTCAGTATTTCATTTTTTTCTTAACCTTTCTACGTTTGTTTCTTAAATAACTAGTCATTGACTTTATCTGAATATTAATTGATATAAATCTTTCAGAGAAATTATTGATGTATTTAATTTTTCAAATTAAATATCTTCACAATGTTGATCGAGTTGTACATTCTTGCATGATAACTTGTAAAATTCGGACTAAATTATAAGTTGACTATATTGATTGAGGACTTTTATGGGCAAAATTTCTTCCTTTATTGTATTAGCTAAATAGGATCAACAATACATAATTCTTAGTGCAATATTTATGTGATTTCTAAAAACTTTGTATTCATTGATATATGNAGCTTATTAATGGCATGCTCTAAATCCGCTCAATTGCAGCACGGGAAGTTTCTTCATGCATATATAATTCGAAATAAAATAAGATCTGATGTCTTTCTTAATGCTTCACTTGTTGACTTATATTTCAAATGTGGCAGAGCTGAGACTGCCCAAAATGTCTTTAGTAAGATCACAAAGAAGAGTGTGGAAGCCTGGAATGTAATGATCTCCGGATATGTGTCAGCTGGATACTACTTGGAGGCTCTTGACATCTATAATGACATGAAANTCGTGGGCCGTCTCTTGAATACTCCATTTAATACTCCACATAAAATTAGTTTAAGCGGCCAAAGAGATCTTTTGAGACGAATTTACTAGCTCTTTTGAATGAATTTCTATGGCTTCCATGAAAATTTTGTCTCTCTTGAAATCAGGCGTTAATGGTTCAACATCGCTAAAGCAATGCAAACTCTTGCACCAAAAGATTGTTACTTTAGGCTTACAAAGCAACATTATTTTTTCCAAGAATCTAATTAACCTATACATCTCTTGCCAAGATTTCCATTCTGCTAAGCTTGTTTTTCAAAATCTTGAAAACCCTCTTGATATCACTTTGTGGAATGGTCTNGGCCAAGCTTTTGAAGCTTTAAAACTCTTTAATGAAATGCTGCATTCTAATGTAAAACCCGACAAAGTTGCATTCCTTGCAGTAATTTCTGCATGTGCTCATGCAGGATTAGTGGATGAAGGTTGTCATTATTTTATTTTAATGGTCACTGTTTGTGGCATCCAACCATCAGCTGAAGAGTACTCGTGTCTTATTGACCTTCTTGGGCGTGCTGGAAGATTGCGTGAAGCCTATGCAATTCTACAGAGCAACCCACACATCAGGGAGGATGTGGAGTTGTTAAGCACATTATTTTCTGCATGCCATTTGCATGAGGAACGAGAGATTGGAGAAGAAGTTGCAAAGGTACTTATTAAAAAGGACGTCGATGATCCATCCACTTATGTTGTTTTTGAAAAAATGTATGCTTCGCAGAACAAATGGAATGAGGTACGCAAGTTGAGACTGAAGATGAAGGAGCTAAAATTGAGGAAAAAACCTGGATGTAGTTGGATTGAAGTAGACAAGAGGATTCAACCTTTCTTGGCAGATGATAAATCATTCCCATTAGTTGACAACGTTTATCAATGTCTATGCTTAATATATAGTGACATGGAAATCTATGAATGCTTTAGTCATAATAGCAAGGGAGATGAATACTACTCACAGCCAGCTACTTGACCACGCCAATCACCTTGTTCATTAGACATGACTTTGTTTTTCCAAACAAATGACCATCATGATTCTGTCTCTCACTGACACACTAATCAGAAAGACAATGGTTGGTCTCTTCTTGATAGTTTTGAAATATTCAAGGTAAGATTTGTATCTGTTTCAGCTTTATTTATACGTAAGAATAAGAATACTAAGTGATGATTTTGTTACCATCCTTTAATTGCATTGGTTGGTGTGACCACTCCACCGATCAGTTTGAGTATTTGCATTCAGTTCGGAGGTTTGAGGTCACGAATAGCTTCACATGGTGTATTGTGACTTGCGTGCATCGTTGGTTTCGATTTTCGAATGGTTCGAAATTGATTTAGAAGGATGACTCTTACTTGAGAAGCTTGAAGTTGAAAGAGTTGGTCAAGTTTGACTTTTGTGTATTTGATCTCGGATCGGAGTTTTAATGGTTCCGGTAGGCCCGGATGGTGATTTTGGACTTGGGCGTATGCCCAGATTTGTATTTAGATATTTCTAGAAGGTTTCGGCACTAATTGGCGAAAATTGGCAATTTAAAGGTTTAGAATTTTTCTAAGTTTGACCATGGTTTGATTTTATGGCTACCGAGTTCGAATTCTGGTTTCAATACTTGGAATAGGTCCGTTTTGCCATTTGAAACTTGTCTGCAAAATTTAGTGTAATTCGGAGTTGGTTTGATAGGATTCGAACGCGTGGTTGTGTTTCTAGCAATTCATGAAGTTCACGGTGATTTTCATTTGGTTTGGTATCCGATTTGTGGTTCTAGATGTTATTTTGATGTTTTGATCGCACGAGCGAGTTCGTATAATGTTAATGTACTTGTGTGGATGTTTGGTGTGGAGCCCCGGGGGCTCGGGTGGGTTTCAGACGCATTTCGGAGTGTTTGGAAGAGTTTTAGTTTTGCTGGTTTTGGTCTGGTGCTTCAGATCTCGCAAAATGCGAGATTTTATTCGCATTTGCGAGGAGGGTTATGCATTTGCGACGTTGGGTGGCACTGTTGAGCTTGCATTTACGAAGAAGTTGATCGCATTTGCAATGGCACCTGGGCATGGTATTTTTCCACATTTGCGATTCTCCTGTCGCTTTTGCGAGGTGCCCAGCTTCGCATTAGCGAGCTTTTATGTCACATTTACGACGTCAACAGAGTTGGTCAGTGGTCGCTTTTCCGATCAAGTTTCCGCAATTGCGGGGTTCGCATTTGCGAACCCCAGGTCGCAAATGCGATATTTGCAGCTTGTTTATAGCTGAGTACTTCGGGACTTAGCTTCATTTTACCATGTTTTGAACCCTAGACTCGGTAGGAGGCGATTTTGTGGAGAGATTTTCATACCAAACTTTTGGGTAAGTGATTTTAATTAATTTTCAATTATATTTCATGCTTATATACAAGATTTAACATCAAATTCATTAGAATCTAAGAGAAATTTTGGGAATTTTTGTCTATGTTTGAAAAATAAAAATTTGAGATTTGAGAGTCGAATTGGATTCGGATTTGAAAATCAAACACATATATGAACTTGTGTGACTATGGGTATGTAACGACCCGACCAGTCGTTTTGATTCTAGTGCGTCATTCAGCGGTTTTAGGCCTTGAGTAGCTTCACTTCAGGTATTATGACTTGCATGTGTGGTCGGAATTGAATTTCGGGAAGTTCGGAGTTGATTAGGAAGGAAAATTCTCATTTCGGAAGCTTCAGTTTGAAGAATTGACTAAGGTTTGACTTTGGAGTAAATGACCTTGGAATCAAGATTTGAAGGTTCCAATAGATTCGTATGATGATTTCGGACTTGGGCGTATGTTATGTTGAGTATCGGGTCGCCCGGGAGCATTTCGACGCTTATTGTGGATAGTTGGCTTTTTGAAGGTTTTAGAATTTCCTAAGTTTGGTTTTGAGGTGGACTTTGATGTTATCGATGTCCGTTTGAGATTCCGAGCATGGGAATAGCTCCGTATGGTGATTCTGGTCGCATGAGCGTGTCCGAATGTGGATTTGGAGGTCCGTAGGTCATTTTGGGGTCATCTGGCGAAAGTTGAAAATTTGAAGGTTTTTGAAAAATTTGAACGGAGGTGGACCTTTTGATATCGGGTTCGGATTTCGATTCCGGAAGTTAGAGTAGGTCCGTAATGTCAAATGTGACTTGTGCGCAAAACTTGAGGTCAATCGGACGTGATTTGATAGGTTTCAGCGTCAGGTGTGGAAGTTAGAAGTTCAATAGTTCATTAGGCTTGAATCGATGCGTAATTCGTAGTGTTGATGTTATTTGGTATGATTTGAGGCCTCGAGCAGGTCCGTGTTATGTTGTGGAACGGGTTGGTGTGATTGGACGGAGTCCCGGGGGCCTCGAGTGTGTTTCGGGGTGGTTTCGGACCAAATTTGGATGAAAAGCTGTTGATGATTTGCTGATGCTGGTGTTGTCTTTCGCGAACGCGGGAGAAGGAACGCGTTCGCGGTGAAGGATTTCTGGGCTGGTGGATTTTGCCCTATGCGAACGCGAAGAGGGGCCTGCGAATGCGTAGGTGGGCCTTCGCGAACGCAGAGGCCTATCCGCGAACGCGAAGAGGAGATGATGGAAATAGGGCAGGAGGCCTTTGGCCTACGCAAACGCGACTGGGGAATCGCGAACGTGGAGGGTGAGTGGCAGTGGGCATTGCGAATGCGGGAAGGCCACCGCGAACGCGAAGAAGAGATTTTTGGTCTAGGGCTGTTTGGCCTTCGCGATTGCGAGGGTCATTCCGCGATCGCGAATAGGAAAGAATTGGGCAGTGGGTTATATTTCGGGACTTAGCCCATTTCTCTCACATTTTCATTTGGTTGGACGAATTTTGGAGAGCTTCAAGGGGAGATTTTCATCAAAGCAACACAAGGTAAGTGGTTCCCACCTATTGCAAGTTAAATACTTGGATTATATATAGATTTTAACATGGAAATTCATGAAAAATTAGTGAAAATTTGGGATTTTGGTAGAAAACCTAGAAGTTGGTATTTTTGGATTTTGACCACGAATTTGGGCATGGAATTGAGAATAAATTATATATATGAGTTAGTAATGTTATGGGTAATGTTATTTTTGAAAATTTTCGAAATTCGAGCACGTGGACCTGAGGGTTGATTTTTATTGAATTTTTGAGCGGAGTTGGGAATTTGTTTAATTGATTGATTATGGGTATTAGAGTATATTTTAATTGGTTTGCACCTTATTTGACTAGTTTTGGATCGAGGGCATCAGTTTGAGGTGTTAGAGAGGCTTTGGAGCCAATTATTGAACTTCGGAGCGATTTAAGTCTCTTGTCTAACTCTGTGAGGGGGAAACTACCCCTAGGTGATGTAATTGTTATGTGTTACTTATTGCGGGGGCTACGTACGTACAAGGTGACGAGAGTCCGTACTTAGCTAAATTCATGTTATTGTCCGGGTAGACGTAGGTTCACACCATGCTATAATTGTACTATAAGGGTTATTTTTGCTCGTTTAATTCCTTTATTTCGCATTACGACTTGAAACTAGGCGTGCGTAGAGTGATAGACTTGCTATTGTAGAGATTTGACAAGTTTCATGATTTGCCACGGAATAATTGTGTTCCTCTTACGAATTTCACCCGCGCTATGCGTTTTCATCGAAAGGTTTTCCTTAAAATTATAACTCACACGTTTATTCGTGAGTGGAGTCAAGGACCCGTTAAAGCTTCTTATTCTAATGGGATCGGGTCGTTCGCCTCGGCAGGATTATGTACCACACTCTCATGGGAGCGGGCCGTTCGCCTCGGCAGTATAATAGATGCATCTATGGTTCGTGTCGTTCGACCCTCGACAGTGCACAAATTATGATGGGATCGGGCCGTACGCCTCGGCATTTCTATAAAATACTCTCATGGAATCGTGCGTAATATTTGACAAGAAGTTAGTGTATATATGAGTCTTCCTGATTTGAATTATGACGACCTATCTGGTGAGGTCCATTATATATATATGCTCTGGTTGAGGAAGTAATTGCTAATTGAGAGCTTGAGTCTATTGTAGAGAGGAGGATTGTATCACGTATTTACACTTGTTTATTTCATTTGGTTACTCTGCCCCATATCTGTTTACTTCTTATTATAACTGTGTTATTGGACCACTAATAAGTGTCGATGTCGACCCCTCGTCACTACTTCTCTGGGGTTAGGCTAGATACTTACTGGGTACGCGTTGATTTACGTACTCATGCTACATTTGCTGCACATTTTTGTGCAGGTACACATGTCTGGTGGTCTTTTGGGCGCAGAGGCGCGACTGTTGCGGGGATTTACCATGAGCTGCATTTTCATGTTACGATCCGCAGCCTGCAGAGATTCCATAAGAGTTATTTATATTCTCCTGTCTAATTGTATTCCAGATAGATGTTGTATTTTATTATATTTTTTAGCCGATGCTCATGCACTTGTGACGCCGGGTTTTGGGAGTTCCTAAGGGTGGTTCATTATTGTAGTTCGTGTAAATATCATCATTTACCCTATAAATTCTATTTCATACTATTTTATTAAATGAAATTTTTTATTTCAAAGTACTAAAATGAGTAATTAAGTTAATTATTCACCGTTGGCTTGCCTGACGGCGGTGTTAGGCGTCATCACAACCTTTAGTGGATTCTAGGTCGTGACAGGGTAGTCGAGACCTACTCTTCGACTAGGGTTATGACGGGGTGGGCCCGATGTTGGCTTTTGTTGACTTTTGGAGAATTGTATAAAGATCATAGCTTTAATAATTGGAATTTGTTTCTCTTGCATTGTTTGATATTATTAAGTCATTTTTGGCTATATTTGAGCCGAGTGGAGGTGAATTTTAAAGGGATAAGCTATTTTGAGTAGCTGATTTGGCCTAAGTGAGGTAAGTATCTTGCCTAACTTTGTGTGGGGGAAACTACCCCTTAGGATTTGGGTTGATTGTACTATTTGGATTATGTGGAAGACGTGTGCACGAGCTTATATGTGGCATTTGACCG